AAACATCATTGTGGCTAGTAGAGTTATAAGTAAGATGGGTAAAGACTTGAAGAGTCCTAGCTCCAAATTTTTTACCGGTTTGTTGAGAGATGGTAAAAGATTCAATGTGATTAAGTAAAGAAATCATATCCTGGGTTTTTGGTCCTTAAGATTCCTGAAAAAGAAGAAATGCCAAGACATATGACCATCAAGGTGGTTAATGAGGTGGCAAATGGGAGCACAGTGGCATTATGAAAGGTGATAAAGGCAAGGAGAACAACTTGCAATGGGAAGATTGCCAATCTGGCAAAAAAAAAAAAACAGAATGCCTAAATAAATTTGCCACTTAAAAACTTGTGGACAAGCTTTTCCCTATCAGGAGAGAACGATGCAGAATTGCGTAAGTTTAAATTACCTAAATAGATTAAAACTTGTAATTTTATTAAATATAGAACTATTATACTTTAGGAGTTTATTATTACAGTCTTAGTAACTTTGAAATTTTATTTTGTTTTAATGTTCAGTTTTCTTATATATAATATTAGTAGTATTTTCTAATTTATTAGTATTAGTATTTCTTGGGCAAATCTTATTTAGTGAAGGTTATTTAGAAAGCAAATATCTTTGTAATTTTACTTTGAGAGGCATAAAATATTATGAGAGTTTCTCAATTTTCTAGCTGTGTGATGTAATCAAACATTCATGTGTAATGCTTAAGACTTATTAAATATGATGCTTGGGAGACTCTAAGCGTGATGTTTAGGTTTTTATTCTAGAACTCTACAGAGGAAAATTAACCTTAATTTATTCTTACATCAGTATGTCAGTGATATCCCCGACTTTCGTTCAAGACTAAATCTTTTTTGGGCAATTTCTAGAATGCAGTCTCCTATGATGACTTCAAAATGTCTTCATCTCTGGTAGGATCACTGTTCATTGTCATCTCTGCTAGGATCTCTCTCAACTTCTTATCTTCTTCTTTAGGGATACCCTCGGTAGCCTTTTAGTTCTTTACCGAGGTTTCTATAAAACGATAGTTTCATAAAGTTGTTCATGTGCTATGTTATTAGTTTTAACATTAATCCTTTCTAGTGTTGCCTGTTTTGTGCTCGTTGGTGTC